AGGAACGCATTGGAGGAAATGAGGCGCGAACTCCTACAGTCTGTTGGCGGGATGGTGAATGCCCGCCTTCAAGGCTTGGAATCGCGCCTCCCCCCAGAGCCAGTGGTGAGGCCGCCACTGGAAGCGGATAAGCGGCAGCCGCCGCCGCCCCGGCCTGAAGCCCAATCGGGCCTGGTGGCTGGGGCCATGAGAGGAGTCCCGGAGCCGGCTGAAGCCCCCAAGGCTAAACCCAGGCCGGCCAGACGGGGGCCCAAAAAGGGCCCCAAAAATCGACCAGCTGGCCCTCCTGCTCCCCCTCCCCCCTCTCAGGTATTGAGAGGACGGGCAGGTGGAGCCCAGCTACATGAAGTTGTAGCGGGCCAGGAGGACAACGCTCCCCAGGCATCGGGGAGCGTTGTCCAATGGTCGAAGGTGGTCGGCCGGAAAGCCAAGGGGAAGGGCAAACCTTCGGCTCCAGCCGGGGCTCCCCCCCCTCAGGTCAGTGTGGCCCGACGGGGGACTGTGGCTCCTCCCCCCCCTACAAAAGCCGTAAAGATCGTAGCCCCCAAGACGGCTGCCATAAGCCTGACACTGAAAACGGGGGCTACGATCACAACAGCCGAAGGCCGAGTCACTGAGGCCAAATACGCGGAGGTCTTAGCTAAGGCTAAGGCCTCCATTAAACTCAGTGACTTCGGCATTGAGACGGTAAGGATCCGGACAAGCATGACCGGATCCAAACTAATGGAAGTGGGGGGGGAGACCCCAGAAGTGACCGCAGACCGCCTGGCCTCCGAGCTAGTAAAAGTTATCGGAGACTGGGTGGACGTCGCCCGCCCGTCCAAACTGGTCGACCTCAGGGTCACCGGTCTGGACGAGACGGTGACCCGTGAGGAAGTGGCGGAGAAGGTGGCGACGGCTGGGGGCTGCCCCCCCAGCGCGGTCAAAGTGGGCCTCATCAGGCCCAACTTCTGGGGTGGCGGCTCTGCTATAGTAAAGTGCCCCGCGACGGCTGCCAAGGCAGCCGTCAAAATAGGGAAGGTGGCCATCGGCTGGACCATGGCCACCATCAACGCGGTGCAGGCCCGGCCATTAAGGTGCTACAAATGCATGATGCTGGGCCACACTCGCGCCCTATGCCCAACGGAAGCGGAGAATGGTCAACTCTGCTTCCGTTGTGGCGAAGCGGGGCACAAGGCGGCCGCCTGCGAGGCGCCCTGCAAGTGCACTGTGTGTGCCACCACAGGGCGCCCGCACACGCATGTGATGGGGGGCAATAAATGTGTGCCCCCCACCGTGAAAGGGAGGATGACCAGGCTGCGCCCTAGCCCAGCGCAGCCCAGCCAGCCAGCCGAGGAAGCTATGCAGGTGTCATAATGCCCGGACACCTGCATAGTGAATTCCTGCAGACCAACGCCAACCACTCCGCCCGCGCACAGGACCTGCTCATGCAGGTTCTGGCGGAGTGGAGAATTGCCGTTGCGGTCGTGGCCGAACCCTACGTGATCCCCCCCCATTCCAGCTGGGTTGGGGACACGGAGGGTTTGGTCGGCATGGTGGCGCCGCCGGCGGGCCAACAACGCCTCTCTTTCAGAGAGAGGGGTGCCGGCTACGTGGCGGCAAACTGGGGGGAAGTAGTTCTCATCGGAGTCTACTTCTCCCCAAACAGGAACCTCTCGCAATTCGAGAGGTTCCTGGATGGCCTGGAGCCGGTGGTACTGAGGGCGTCGCCGGCCCAGGTCATCGTGATGGGGGACCTCAACGCTAAGTGCGCGGAGTGGGGGTCCTCCATCACCGACGCGAAAGGGGCGCTTCTCCGGGACTGGGCTACAGTCATCGGCTTAGTCCCGGAGAACCAGGGCACTGCCTACACGTGCGTGCGCGGGCGGGGTGGCTCAGTGGTGGACGTAACGTTCGCCACCCCCGCCATCGGCGCACGCATAACGTGTTGGCGTGTCCTGGAGGAGGTGGAGACCCTGTCCGACCATTTATATATTCGGTTCAGGGTCTCCAACGCGCCCCGTGGGCGTCAGACCCGGGCGGCGGGCGGAAGAGGCGTGGGAGGCTTTCCGAGGTGGCAGCTCTCACGCCTCGACACGGACCTGGCGGAAGAGGAGGCCGTGGTCCGCGCATGGTCGGCGGACCCCCATCAAGGGATGGGGGTCGAAGAAAGGGCCGTCGGGTTCCGCCGGGACCTGACGGCCATCTGCGACGCCGCCATGCCCCGGGCGCGACGCCCCGCGCCCCGTCAGAGGGTGTACTGGTGGACGCAGGACCTCGCGGCCCTGCGTGCCACCAGCAACGCTGCCCGCCGCGCTTTCTCCCGGTGCCGAAGACGTCGGCACCGGGAACCGGGTGAGCTAGAGCGCCTTCAAGCCGAAATGCGGTCGGCAAAGAAGGCGCTCTCAGCCGCCATCGGGGCCGCCAAGGACGCTGCATACGCCGAGTTCTTGGCGGTCCTGGACGCGGACCCGTGGGGGCGCCCGTACCGAATGGTACGGGCTAAACTAAAGGCGGCGCCCCCCACGGAGGCCATGGAGCCGGCCGTCCTCAGCGCGGTGGTCGAGGGGCTGTTCCCTAACAGCCCCCCATTCGAACCACCGCGCATGGCACCGTCAAGTGCCGAAGATGAGGACGATGCCGCCCTAGACCCTCCTCTGATAACAGAGGAGGAAATGGTATGGGCGGCTCGCCGGCTCCAAGGACCCCGGAAAGCCCCGGGACCGGATGGCGTGCCCGGGAGGATTCTCCCCACCGCACTAAAACACCTCGGGGATCGCCTACGCTGCCTTTTCAATGACTGCCTGGCAGCGGGGCGTTTCCCTGAGGTGTGGAAGGAGGGGCGGCTGGTGCTTATCAGGAAAGACGGCCGCCCCGCGGACTCTCCGGCAGGATACCGCCCGCTGGTGATGCTGGATGAGGTCGGGAAGCTACTAGAACGTGTGCTGGCTTCCCGAATCATCCAGCACCTAGCGAGGGACGGGCCGCAGCTCTCGGTGAACCAATTCGGGTTCCGGTCGGGACGGTCCACAATGGACGCCCTGGCCGCCCTGAAGAGGTTCACCGAGGAAGCGGCCCAGAGGGGCAGGGAGCCATAGCGGTGTCATTAGACATCGCTAACGCCTTTGGCTCCCTCCCCTTCTCGGTAATAGAGGAGGCGCTCCGGTACCATGGAGTGCCCCTCTACCTGCGGAGAGTTGTAGGGCACTACCTGCAGGGACGGGTAGTGTCCTACATGGGGAGAGAGGGCCGCCAAGAGAGGCGGATGGCCTCCGGTGTTCCCCAGGGGTCTGTATTAGGACCCCTGCTCTGGAACATCGGATACGATTGGGCCATCCGCGGAGAGGTGCTGCCCCGGATGGCGGTCATCTGCTATGCAGATGACACGCTGGTCGCCGTCCGGGACACCACCTGGAAGAGAGGGCGGAGAAGGGCTGAGGCCGGAGTCACCCTGTTGACCCGGAGGATCGAGGCGCTAGGCCTCCGAGTGGCCCTCAGTAAAACCGAGGCCCTCTGCTTCAAAGGGCCGAAGTGGAGGGTACCGGCGAGGGCCGCCCTCCGGGTCTACGGCG